CCTTGAAGGTACTGGTAGTAGTTCAATCGTCTCTCCCTCCTTCATCTCTTACATCTAAATTTGATTTCAATAAGGCATATATAGTTGTTCAAATGTGATTTCATTTCTTCTCCATGGTGCATTTAGGTTTTGGGTGATTTCAATTCTTTTCTATAGCTACAACCTTCAAATTTGGGTTTTGGGTGATTTCATCTAGGTTTTGTTTCTTGTTTAGATATGATTTCATTCCTTCATAAACCTAAAGGATTGAGTTTTGATTTCTTACTATTTATGGAAGGTTCATTGTTGTTTTGATAATGATGGCTAGAGATTGTTGTTTTGATTTCTACATACTAAAATATCCATGATAATGGAAGGTTGCTAGCTAGAGATTGTTGTTTTAATTTCTTCATCCCACATCAAAGGTCAAGCTTCAATTACCTAGGCGAGAGCAACATTTTTTTTTCCTTGAAAGATGCCATTTTAGTCATTCTATATTTTAAATACCAATATTAAATAAAAAATCTTTCAATTACATGAATATACCTAACATATTTTTAAACCCTGTATCTATATTTATTTTCACCTCTATATCTATTTTCACTTCTATTAAAATCATTTCCCACATACCAAAGTGGGGCATAATAAAAGAATGGGAAAATATTTACTTAGCCATTTATCCTTTTATACTTAATACGTTTTTGTCCAATTAAATCAAAATAGGTGAATTTTAATGTTTTAATAGTATTAACAACAAGGATTTGTTAAGAAATATAAATAGTTTATAAAAAATTACACATATATTTATTTAATTGAAAACAAATACTTTAAATTATAGCTGGGAATTTGGGCAAATCAGGCCTATTCAGGCTCATCCCGACTCCTAAAAAAGCTCAAATAGCTAAGCTTGTCACAAATTTTTTTGGGCTTCGGGTGGCCCGAATAATTGAATTTTATTTTTAAAATTATTTTTAATTAAATTTTTTACTTTAAAATTAATTATTTTATTTACAATTTTTTTATACTTAAATGATGTATAAGATTCAAATATATGGTATTTTAATATAAAATGACCTAAAATTTAAATAATTAATTAATATTTATTATTTTTTATATATTTTGTAAAAATAAAAAAATTATTCAGGTATTTAGGCTAAGCTCAAACTTAATCGGGCTTGGCTCAAATTTTCTTGGGTTTATTCGAGCTAACCCGATCATAAAAATATCATAATTTTTTTAAGTCTGGCCCTAGCTTTTTTCGGACGGGTTTGGGCTAGCCCATCGAGCTCGGCCCAAATTATCGGCTCTACTTTAAATATACAAAGCTATAAGTACGTGAATTTTTTCCCTCTATCTCTACTCTAGATTTATAGTCTATGCGACAAGCTTATAAGTGGGGTAATTTATTCTTCCTCTCATTTTTTTCCATTTGCTCTCCTTTGCTACATGCAAGAGTTTGGATCTCCCCTCTTTTTTTTTTTTATAAAATGAATCCTATCCTTTATTATTTTTTAGTATCCTAACTAATTCTTTCTTGTGGGGAAGAGAAGTCCACATACATGCAATGACACATAAACACACAACAACACATCATTGTTTGAAAAATCAGACTGGACTGACCTATCAACTTGGTGAGTCAACCTTGTGTCCAGTTTGGATTGGTGGTTTATTTGGGTTTTAGTCAAGCTGGGTGACCTGGTGTAACACACCAAATTTTTTTTTTAAATAATTTAACTCAACCATAGTTGGGTTACAGCCACCCAACACATTTTTATATCAATAATTTCGATATAAAATATTTTATAATTGGTTTCAACTCACACACTATAACATTTCAGATAAATTTTTACCTCCCACATGCCATTAGGCTAAATCACATTTGTCCATCCTTATACTCCCAACAAGTAAACTAAATCACATTTGTCCATCCTTATACTCCCAACAAGTAAAATAAGCAATTTAGTCAATTTTCAACACAAGCCAGTTATTTGGCCTTATAATCATGCCATTTTAACCAATCCAAAGTAAACCAAATATTAAAATTACAGTCATCCAAATTGTACCAAAAATAGAAATAGTTTGAAAGGCATGATTACATTTATATATTCATATAATTGACAATAAACAAAAAGCCCTAATATTGGCAATATAACACATTATAAATCATAAATTAAATACCCAAAAGAGACAGTGGATCTATACCACTAAGTCTCTGGGACTCCTCCACGTGTCACTCGTGGCTCTTCTCCTGAAAATTGTTAACCACATAATGAGACTCAAAAGTCCCAGTAACCAAAGCCAATTTATGATAGTGTATACAAACAGTTAAGTGTGTGCTTACTAAGTGAGAATTAAAAATAATATAATTCCAACAAATATAAGAAATATTACAATACACACAAACAACCATCCTTATATCTCTCCATTAACCTCGAGCCGTAGCCCTCACTCGGTGCTAAATTACCCGGCCAAAGGTAGATTAGCCCGAGCCCTTACAAACCACCTATTGAGCTCCAATAGGGGCGTACCACGTGGCACATAAATACAACAATAATAGCAAGTCTCCCAACACCTCCCACAATAATTAAACAAATTCATAATAATATTGCACAATTATACAATATTACAAAATTCATAATTTTCTCAATAATCACCCAATTAACAAGAAGTAACACTAATCACAAATTAAAAGCATGGTTACCTTGTGGCTTTTTCAATAAATTATTCCTTAAAATTTCTCTCTCACCACAATCTTCACCAGTAATACAATCTACAAATAACATATTATTTATAAATATTAGTTTCAATTTTTGAAACTAATAAAATAATTCTAATAATAGAATTAAAAATATAACATAATTCCTAATCTCAATCTTAATACAAATCTATAGTTAATACTATTAAGTATAATTTTTAACTCCTCTTTTAATTATCAATAAACATTAATAATCTAAAAATCAACTTCTAAACTAATTTCTATTATCAAAATTTTCTTTTTATTTCATAAATTCGTACCTAAAATACTCAAAAATTAAAAATTAAGTCTCTAGCTTAGAATCATAATCCTATAGCCATAATAATTCATTTCTCATCCCAAATAATCATCTAAACCTCAATAAATCAACATATATTTTCAGATCTAGTCTAGAATTTGATCCATAAGCCACAAATTCAAAGATCACCAATAAATTTATACTCTAGAATATTTATTATACTACTAACAACCTCAAAAACCATATTTATTCAACATAAATTCATCCCTCTTCCAGATCTTAAATTTTCTACCACTACAAACTCAGAAACAAAAGAAAAAGGATGACTAAGAAAAAATTTTAGAACACTTACTTAGTCTTGAAAAGCTTAAAATCACATCCTAAATATCCTATTAAAAACTCTTACCTTAAAACCCTGCACCGGTGAATTTGGCTCACAGATGCTCTCTCTGCCGAAACTCACGCACGAAAGAAGGAATGAAGAAATGAAGGAACAGGTGAGTTTTTATAAAAATTCAGTGGGTCCCACATTTTTTTTAATTATTTTCTCTCTCTTCTTCTTCTTCTTTTTTATTATTATTTTATTATTGTTACTGTTGAGGCGGCGGACGAAGCAAATTCGTTTTCTTCTTCTTCTTCCTTTCTTTTTTTTATTATTATAATAATAATTTAATAATATTATTTTATTATTTTATTTTTTTTTTAAATTATTTATTTTTTTTAATTTTCTATTAACCCAAATTAACTATTAAAATTTATATTGGGATATTACACCTGGGATTATCTCAAATCAACCTGTTGACCTTACAAGTTAGGTGGGAAAGAAAGATAGAGGAAGCGGATGATGAAAGATGAAGAAAGAAGATGGGACCATATGAAGAAAGAATAGTATTGAGCTAGATTTAGGGTTATCGACAATTATATTCTTAACAGGAAGTCATAAGAATAGCCCTTACTGAGATAGACCGTCAACTCCAACAAGTTTATCATATGTGAGATTAGCTTTGGTGATGTTGTCAAAGAGCACCTTGTCATCTTTAATTCAAGTAGCTTCTCCAAAAAAATGAAGAAAGAAGAAGATGGAAGTAGATGAAGAAAGGAGATGAAGAGTTGAAGATCCAGTATACAGTGATTCTTTTATATATAATTTTCTGTTATACTTATAAAAAATGTAAAACAGTGACGGTAAAAGAAAGTAATAAATAATTTAATTTTCATGCAAATTATTTTATAAAAATGATTATCAATTTCTTTTTTACATACAATTATCAATTTCTTTTGAAAAGTAATTTATATATAGAACTGACAGAATATGCTACAACTAGAAATGTTTTTCATGTGTTATGTGAGAAATTTTTAAGTAGGCTGGACGCGTCACATTATTTGTAATCTATCCTATTAAAATGCCTAAATAAATCTCAAGTGACATTATTTTAATTAATTTTATTTTTATAATGGAATACATATTCAATTTCTTACATTTTCTCTCTCTATTTTTATTAATATCATAATCAATTAATGTTCAATGTTATTTAAATATTATATTTTTATTGGATAAACCATAAATAATAAGGTACACTTAGTTTACTTAAAAATTTCTCTATGTTACAATCATATAGTAATCAATATTGATTAATATTTAACGTATATTAATATATAGATAATTAAAGGAGGTTGGGTCTAATGAAAGATACTAATCATTCATAATATGATGAATCAATAATAGTCTAATGAGAGAATGCTTGTCTGGCATCAATATACAGATACACATTTAGTTATTTATATTTTTGATGATGTGATTAGAGCAAGTAATTTCATTTTTTGACCACGGGTAATCAAAAATTCAAAATTAACACACTTATTTTTTGTTTCTATTTTTTTTATCTGGATCTAAAAAATTGGTTTTTCCAAATAATAATAATGAACCAAACCCTTGCTGGTTAAAAAGAAAATATATACTAAGTTCGTCACTAGAAAAAATACTTTTACAATTATATATATATATACACGTTTCTGTGTGTGTGTGTATATAAATATATATCTTGAACGCTGATAAAATGATAGTCCGCTTTCATTCTCACAAAACCTAATTCTGCATAGCCTCCATATCCAAACGCAGTTTAACCTTACGCGCACCGACGTCGAATCCCGGTAAGTTTGAAAAGCAAGCTACATTCAATACTCAATTACCCTAGCTCGTACATTCATTTTCTATCTTCTTCCCTTTCTATTCGTGTAATTTTTATTTGATTTGAGTTCATTCTAGGGTTTCTACTCTTTCCTACATGTACGCTTTTTATGGGCTTCTTTCGTGTTCGAATCTGTTTCCCAAATCATTTATTTTTTATTTGTGTGTCAAGTTTTGGGTTACGGCATGGCAATTTTTGGAGTTGCATTCATTAGTAGTCTTCGAAATTGCGACGAGACTTTGGGGTTTAATGCTCCATTTTTGCTCCACTGGGTTTGGTTTCTTATTTAATCAAACGAAGAACCATGGTGCTTTTTCTCGATGAATTTTGGGTTCTTTTTTTTATTTATTCCCTCGTTCTTTGGTCGAGGCTGGGCGGTCTGCTTCTGTAGAATTGAAGTGGGAGATGCGGGGCGAGGCTTTGTAATTAAGTGTTAACAGTGATTTTAGTCATTTTACTCGTCACGTTTTGAAGTCATTGGAAACTTGTGAAAATTTGGGTTCTTAAAAATGTTTAACGAATTTCATTAAAAAAAAAATGTTCAATGAATTTGTTTGCTATATTCCTCGTCATGATGAAGAATTAAATAAGCAACTGTCCTAACATTCTTCAAGTTATTTGTAATTATTATTTTCCTTCTATTTATTTTGCACTAACAATTTGTTTTACATTACTGAATTGACAGCAATTATAGTTGGGATGTCTGGGGAAGGCTTTGATGGACAGGATGCGGGCTATGTGCCTGAGAACCCGAATTTTCCACAAAATCATTCTGATGAACATGATGCGGGAGTGATTGATAATTCCGGATTTCCTGAACAAGAGTCTGAACATGATGCAGGGAATGTAGTTGAGGAATACAATCCTCCAGACAATCATTTGGATGGACTTGATGCTGGAGATTTGCCCAAAAATTCTGAGTCTCCACAAAAGCATATTGATGAGCATCATGAGGTAGGAGATATAACTGAGAGTTTTGATTCTCAGAAGCAGGAACATGACATAGATTCAAAAGGAACTGAAATAAAACGGTGGCCGGGGTGGCCTGGAGAGAATGTATTCAGAATGTTGGTTCCTGTTCAGAAGGTAGGCAGTATTATTGGCCGCAAGGGGGAATTTATTAAGAAAATTACTGAAGAGACAAAAGCTCGCATTAAAATACTCGATGGTCCCCCTGGAACCTCAGAAAGAGCTGTGAGTTAACAGTTAGCCCTTTCTATGTTAAGCTTATGAGGAATAAATTTGCGTGTATCTCCCTGTGATGTGAAATTTGTGCATTGTGTGTGTTGATACCTGTGGATTTTTGGAAATATTATGATTTTATCTGTTTTAAAATTTGGTTTTATTGGTGCTTTATTTTTGGGGTGAATGATATATTTGAAGAACTAGTTGTTGATAGAGCCCAATGTTATTTTGTGATTCATGTACCTCACTTTACTTAGTGGAATAAGACTTGTTCTTGTTTTTGGGTCTTATTTTTGGTGCAGTCATGACTTTATTTTTTCCCCATCACTTCCTTCCTTCCTTTTGTTTTGCTTTGCAAATTGTGTGCTGTAAAACTGATATTGTTGGAACTCTGTTGGTATTGCTTTGTTTGGAATCTTATATCTCGTGTGTGTTATTCATGATATTTCAAGAGGGGGAACATAACTAGGTCTTGTCAAGTTATATTGAGGGAAGTGCATGCTTCACTTCAATATGGAAAACTTCTACTTGGTCAAATAAACGTCATATAACTCATTTGAAAGTTCAACTTAATGGGGTACTGATTTATTTATGATAAAACGTTCAAACATATATCAATATTGTTATCAAAGAATTTTACCTAAAAAACAACAGTTGTCAAGGCAGTGAAACCATAAAATAATCAAGCATAACATAAGAAATGATAAATATTATAACAGGCTAAATATTTATAAAAAGAGATGTCTTTTGTCCCGATAACCAAAATCGATGTGTGCAGGTGGTCAGCAAATATGAATGACCAAGGTGGCTTCAAACTGAAGTGCCAAGGTTGAAGTTGCAGGGAAACAGCAATGAGCATATACAAGTGCTGAAACGTTGTTTTTGTGTTAAACATTCAGAATAGTTTGTGCAGATTTTGGTAGCGACAGGCTTTCACTTCTACCTGGTAACTTCAGAACTTGGTCGACTGGTGTCTTGCCACAGTCCCTGAAAATATTCCCTAGGAACAACTCTTTAACATCATTGAAATGGTAAAACAACAACACAGGGAAGGAGAAAAGTATAAGCCAACTGAAATTTGATTCACATATACTAAGCATAAACTTTCAGATGAATGCATGATAATGTGTCAATAATCAATAAATTATATAAATTTGAAATACGTCTAAATTCATTGAATTACAAGAGTGATCCTTAGAAACATCAGATTACTCTTTTAAGATGTGGGATTACTAATGAAATTTAACATTTGTCATCTATACCTTTTATGAGTTTGTCCGAATACAAATTACTGCTAATCAATTGAACAGGAGATTCATGGGTCTGGAGACTGGGAATAAAGTTAAAATTCAAAAAATATTTTTTGATTCAAGTGTTATAATTTTGATGAACAATTATGTTCTTGCGATGTTTAAATGAAATAATTGATGAATGAAATAGATTTAGTGAGTGAAAGCAGATCTGTTTATTGTATTTTATAAGTACCCTCTCCAGGCAGTGTTTCTGAATAATCTCTTTGATGCTTTTAAAAGGTAATGGTATCTGCAAAAGAAGAGCCAGATCGCACCATACCACCTGCTGTGGATGGCTTGTTAAGGGTTCATAAACAAATTGTCAATGTTGACCGTGATCTTGCTGATAGCACATCTGTTGCTGGGCGCTCTGTTGTTACAAGACTTCTTGTTGCTGATACTCAAGCAGGAAGCTTGATTGGGAAGCAGGGGTCTACTATAAAATCCATTCAAGATACATCCAGTTGCACCATACGAGTTCTTGGATCAGGTGTGCTTACATGCATTATCTACTGCTCAAAGAAACGGTGCCTAATTTAGCAACATGTCGATCAAATTTTTGTGCTGCTAATCTTGTTAGGTATTTGGAAGTTGATATGTGTTCTTTTCAATAATGTAAGTGTCAAATTTGGAAGTTAGATATGTGGTTCTTGTCAATAATTGGTGTTAAATCAGTTTTTGTTAATGTTCCAAGTGTATTGGGGGCAAGATATAGTATTTACTTTTGTGCATCATGAGTATTAAAGGAAAACTTTTACTATTCGAAAATTTTTGTGAGTACTGTGCCTGAAAAATGTTGAATATGCAACAGAGCACCTGCCAGTTTTTGCTCTGCGAGATGATAGCGTTGTTGAAATACAAGGTGAATCTGCTGGAGTTCACAAGGCAGTTGAACTTATTGCAACTCATCTACGGAAGTTCTTGGTGGACCGAAGCATAGTTGGAGTATTTGAAACACAGGCAAGTGCTATTTTTGAAGCTAAATCAATATAACATGTGAATGGGCATAGTAGCAATGTTTGTGGGCAAGTTATCTTGTCGAATTTGTAATTTCTCATAGTCATTAGTCTGATTTAAGCATTATAAGCTTATCAAATACATATTTTAATGCATATGGATAGCATACCAATTTCTTATTATTATCCATGGTTTTGATTAAGCAGAAACTAGAAATTACATAAGATTCTGAATACAGGCAAGTTTGGAGATCATTTCTATTATAATAATAACCAGTATAATGGGAGAGGATGCTAATTTATATGAATGGTCGTGTGTGGTCAGAGTGAAGTTAACTGATACATGCTTTACTATTTGTAAGCTGACATTTGAAAATAAGTTCACGTTCAGAAGCCTGGCTTGATCTTTGAATTTTGGAATCATATGTTAGGTGCTTATTTACCAGTATGCTTACTCTCTGTTGAGAACAAAATTGGAAATGGGAACTGGATAGGTTAAGGCATTAAGCTATCAATTAGTTGAGCTATAAATATTGGTTAGCATTCTAGAAGGATGTCAAGCTATCTTGGTCTGTTTTTGGTGATGCTGTGCTCGCTCTGCATAATTTTTTATTTTCATCTTCAGATGCAATCAGCAGATGTTCGACCCAACCAGAATGTGCCACCACATCAGCCGTGGGGTCCTCCTCCTCAAGGGTTTCCAGCTCCTGCAGCTGGTGGACCTCCATTTGCTCCTAATCCTCAATATATGCCACCTTCACATCACTACGATAACTATTATCCGCCTGCTGATCTGCCTCCTATTGACAAACACCTTCATCAGGGACCACCTGCTTATGGAAGGGATGCTTCCATGGTTTCCAGTGCGCAACCACAACAATCTGTTGTGACTAAGGTTTTTTATTTTTCATAACTAAGAAGTTTTACAGCGAACATTATTAATTCTAAAACATGTTTGCTTTATTGTGACTTAATGCATTTTTCCTTTTCTGCCTTGTAGGTTACACAGCATATGCAAATTCCTCTGTCCTATGCTGATGCAGTTATTGGAACGTCAGGTGCAAACATCAGCTACATTCGTCGTGCTAGTGGAGCAAGTATTACAATTCAGGAGACAAGGGGTGTACCAGGGGAGATGACAGTTGAAATAAGTGGGACTGCTTCACAAATACAGACTGCTCAACAGCTGGTGCAGGTATTTTATTATTTTTAAAGCAAATTTTCTGATTCTGCTTGTTTCCTGCTGTGCTTCTAGGAATTGATGTTAGTCCGTTTGGGTCAAGTATTGTTCTTGGTGTTTGTGGTGTGGAGTCTTATGACTGGGGTTAGCAGTTTAGGATTAGTCTTAAATGGATCTTGTCCGTGCCTAATGTGATTGTAACTAACGTCCTGATGCAAGCTAATGGTGCACAAATTTACACATCTTATGTAATTAAAGAATATAAAATTAAGCTAACATTGATTTTTGTTTTGATTTTTTCAATTCGTTTCATTCCTTTTTAATAACCAAATGGGACCTTAGAACATGTGGGTAAAGAAAGTACAGGAATGGCTTGTAGACAGTAGTTGATTAGAAATGCAGATGCAGTACGGCAGTAGATAGTGTTCAACATCTCATTTCAATTTTGATGTCCTCTGCTGCATTATGTTTGTGTTGGTTTAGCGCATTGTGGATATGAAATCATTTGCAATCTCTTTTTTATTTTTGATGTACAGAACTTCATGGCTGAAGCTGCAAGCACGGCACAGGATCAAATGGGTGGATCAGTTGGGCAAGGCTACAATTCGTATCCTGCTAATGCTCCTGTTTACGCGTCTCCACCCTCAAGCGCTGGTGGCCATACAGGCCATGCGCCTGCTGCTGATTATGGTCCTGTATACGGCACCAATTATGGTTATTGAGAATGTCACATTGAAGTGTAATTGTGGGAAAGCTTCTGTTCTTGTAACCACCGTTGAATTTTTAATTGGAGCGGGGTATCGAATTAAACTTGGGATTCTGTCCTATACCCCATAGGTTTATGTTGTATTATGCTTGGTATATGACACTGCGTAGGATTCAGAAAGTGAGATTATTTGGTAGGATTTTGATTCGGTAATTTCAAACAGTTTTTCCTGGCTAAAATTTTCGTGTTGTTGCGAGAACGTTAATTGAGATTTTGGAGTGTGAAGATGGGCGTATCAAGGAATCAGGGTAGGAAAACATCGAGTGTGCAAGAGAGTGCGTGCGGGCGCGTGGGGCAAGACATTCTGATTGGAATGAACGGCTAACTCTGCCATCGATCCATGTGGTGCTACGTGTAGTAATTTTGGAGTACCATTGAACATTCCTCCATTCTCCATGTTCGGTATGGAGGGCAAACTCTCCAGCTAGATTTGTATGATGCATTTAACCCGCAAGATTAGTCGTAAAATTTAGTGGAATGTTTAATATTCATTTCTAAAGATAGTCGTCGCTAGAGTTGGTAATACTGCTAGTTCAACCCGTCAATTTGCCAAAAAATGGTGGGTTGGGTTGAAAAAAAAAGAGTTTATTTTTATGTAGGGTGGTTTTAGCTTGAACCAGTAGTGGTTGATTTGTGGGTTGGCCTGCTTAATTTTTTTTTTAAATTGCAGGGTCATTTTCTTAATTTTTAAACTCTCATAATTATTTAAATCATTATAATAATTTAAATTACGTTCTTATTGCTTATTGTTGTTAGTACCTATCACATTTACTTAGCCGAGATAATTATAAATCTATCATCAATCAAGTGTATTAGTGTAGCGTGTATTCAACCTTGAGTAAAATATTTTTAAATAGGCATGGGTAATATAGTCATTCATTTTTTTAAATTATGAGTTATTAAGTTATCATTTGTGAACAAATTCTTTTTTTATTTATATTGTCTTTGTTATTATGTTTTATTTCAATAATTCAGAATTTCTTGGGCAACCAAAAAATAAAAAAAAAAGATTAGCTTGCTAACTTTGACTTAAATTAATATAAAATATAATTTTACTTTTTAGATATCTACATGTTAATTATATTTTTATGTTTAATTGTGTGATGTTAATAATTAATGATAGATAAATTTTCTAACATTATGATGAATTTATAATTTTTAAAATTAAAAAATATATAAGTATTTTATATTGATAGGTTAGCCCAACTTGCAAGTTGTAGGTTAACTCGTATTATCAGCTTTAGCTGTCACTTTTAGTTTAACTAATGGCTATCCCATCCTCCCTTTTTCTAATCAACTAATCAAAGAGTAGTTTTGAAAAGTTGTAAAAATCAGACAACTGATTTTAACTAATTTTTTTTAATCTATAGAAGGTTATTAATAAGATCTCATAAAACGCATTCAATTGTAACGATTTTAAATGTATGTACCCTGGTTCCAACCTGTTCATGGAATCTGCTCGAGTTACTTGCCTTTTGTTTTTTTGTGTTAGACGATTGAGCCTCGTGCTTATGCGTGTAATGCTTTTTTTTTTTTTTTTCGTGTTTTTAATACAAGGCCATACCTAGAGACTCTGCATAGAAATTCTCATTTGAAGATCATTATGCGATGTTCGGTGAACAAGTTAATATGAGAAATTGCTTGCTTATATAGAAACATGGGGTTGAGTCTGACAAAAGAATTGGTCCCTTCAAATTCTTGCAAAGAAAAGCATATATTTTTGATGTCCAGCCGTGTCTTGAACATGATTTCTTTTAATAAAAAAATGCCTGTGCGCAATAAAAAGTGGTTTATGGTGATGATCTGGTTTATCAAGATTAGCTCCCTGATTCTCTTGATGTAGTTAATGAGCATGTGATTTTGAATAGATATTAGTTTGCTATCGCACAGAGGTTGAGATCTTCAAGCTCTTAAGCTCACTTGGATAAAATCCAAGTGTGCTTGGTGAAATTCTTTTACTTAGTTACCTCTAGCAAATATTGGAGGTATTTTTTATAAAAAATATTTATTTTATTTTTTTACTTGCAATCTAATAAAATTATTAGATGTAAAATGTATTTTACTACATAAAAAGCCTTTACATCTCAATAAATTTTAAAATTAGAAGTTTAATTTGTGTCTAAAACTTGAATTGGACTAAGTACTAATTAATATTCCTACATTTAGAATTGAAAGAGATGTTTTTTTAAGCTATACAATTTTTTGAGTTAAATAGCAATATGGACCTTAAACTATAAGTTCAGAGGCAATTTAGAATCTAAACTTTTAGTTGGTATATCTTAAATACTGAACAATTAAATTTGAGTAATCATGCCCTTACTGTTAATTTACAAGTAAGAAATGTTGCTTTATACTTAATGGGCCCATCATTTTCTGCTGCTTTCTAGCTTTTGTTGCTCTCTCTCCATTGTCTCACTCTCTCACTCCCTCCTCTCCTAGTCTTTGCTCGTTCCCTCCCTCCCTCCCTCTAAGGAGTTACACACAGAGGATGCCATTCTAAAGCCTATGACAAGCATTTTGCTTCTCCATATGAGTTGCAAACTTGAGGGTATCTATTTGCTATAAGAAAAGTAAACAAAACGAAGTAGAGAGAGAGGAGCCTACTTGTGTGCCATCATTCCCTACAAAGTTTTGAGGAGAAAGTAGAGGCAAAGATCACATCGATGCTAGAGGAAGAGAACAGGATAAAGGCTCTAGTAAAAAGTATGGCCAGTTATTTCCACAAGACTATAAGAAGAGATGAAGGATTGTGCTTGTTTGTGGTGGTATGCAATTTCTTGAAAATAGCAAAGGCTTTCAAGAAAGAGTCCGACGACAATGTTGTCTATTGTAGAAACTCGACAGCTATGGGCGGTGAAATTGGTGTAAGGGGATTGGTGAAACCATATTGATTATTGAAATTAAGTGCAAGGGTCCCAACTTAACCTTAGGCCCGTTACAATGTGCTCTAGTCAAAAACCTTATGAGGAAGGTAGATGGTGAACCCTGCATCGATGTTGTTAGTTAGGATAAGGAGTTTCAGAGTTTGTGCATTCCCTTGGCCTACAAGGATAATGTGTTTCTTTCTTAAAATAAGGTAGAGAGTGAGACACTTTTTTAGGGGGGGGGGGACAAAAAATGATAGGCCCCTATATGTGTAAAGTAATGTCCGTTACTATTAAATTAATGGTGGGGTGAAATTATCTTAAATTCAATTGTTCAAGTTTCAAAATATATCAACTATAAATTCAAAATCTAAATTACCCCCGAACTTATAATTCAAGGTTTATATTACCATTTAGCCCATATTTTATTGTTCACTAATTTTTTTTTTGCCATTAAATATCAGAAATAAGATTAGTTTCCTTTTACAGTTAGGTTTTGATGTTCTAACTGTCGTTTTAAATGACTAAACTTCGTTACTTTCAATGGTTAAAAAAAAAAAAAGACTATTATTTTGAAACAAGATTTTGCTAAAATGACAATACCTATTTGAGGCAAGAGCATTATTGGCGGGTCATCTTCCAAGTTTTGCTAATGATGGTTGAATTTAAAACTCATTCACAGATTGTACCCACCGGGGAAAAAAAAAAAAACCCTCATCCACAGAGGCTCTCTAATTTTAATTCGTGCTCTTTGGTGGCTCTGCACTATGCCTGTATCTACAATCAAGGTCAAGGTGTTGAAGAGAAGTAAAAATGTAAAATGCTGCCATACTTGGTGGTTGGATGAAACAGCATGTCTACTTATACAGCACTGCTGACAGCACAAACTATCCATGTCTTTTAGCATCCCTGCTATACAATCTAAATAACAAGCTCACATACTCGCAGAGTGCAAGAGCAGCTCCTCATAGTACAATTTCAGGTTGGGCTGGTTGTTCCTTGAGTTTCTGAACAACATTTCGAGCAACATCACCATATGCTTTGGATGCTGCAGAATCAGGAGCCGATAACACTATGGGGTCCCCTTCATCACAAGCTTCTCTTATCTGCACTTCTAACGGTATCTGGAGTCATTGAAATGGGAGCTTGTTATGTACGCAATAGATGAATGTTGTTGCAGGCGTCACTTCAGAACATCAAGAAAAAGATGCAGGTTTTCTCGATTAACCATTTCATATGCAAATATTACATCACAAAATTTAAGCAAATACCTCCTTTGTTAAAACCGGTGTTATCAAGGCGACTGCCATTGCCATGTCTTTTGAAGTTCCATAGAGGGAAGCTCCAAGATTGCCATCATTCTTGACATGGTGCCCGCCATTGACAACACTGGTAAGAACTAGAATCCCGAACAGCCTGGTGATTTAAGCGTGCTTTGTATTGCAGTTTCAATTTAATCATAACAGATAACATTAACGTCAAGCAGCTGATGTGAAAGTATCACAAATTCCAGGCAGCAAGGAGGTGGTGTCAATAATCCTCCCTCAATTAATTCAGGAAAAAAAATTAAAAGGGCAAGCAACGAGCAGTCAAACTCCTGCACAACTAAGCAGATGCGCGTGTCTAACGTGCAGTTTTCTTGCTTGCACAGGAACAAGCAACGGACTTAGAAATAGATAGGAGCGCACTAGCGTCTCAAGCCCTCTCGCTTTGCCTTTATCTGATAGGGCTAGCTTCACACGTTGCGCATTAGACACGCGTAGGAACAAGCAACGGCCCATGTCCTGACATGTAGAAGTACATCCGTGTAAAGAAATAAACATGCAGCTAACGCAAGTTGGTCCACTTATGCGCGTTGGCAATTCACTTTCTAATTATTTCTAAACTGTTAAAGATTCATGGGGATTTTCTTCGCACATTAGAAATTGTTATTTGCAGCTTTTAGAACAAGGAAAGAAGAAAAAACAAAAAGATAAGGAAAAAAGAGCCTCAAATAATTTTTTCCTTAAAAAAAAGAAACAGAAAATTATAGTACGAAGTGTCTAATCTGTGTCCTGGTACTTGCCACAATGATACCTCACACCACCATCAAACGAACCATGTATTTGAATCCAAAAATTAAAATCTAAGGCGTTTAACATTGATATGATAAACAAGGATTATTAAACGTATAAATACTATACTGACCTCACCCAACAATTCTAATCCCATATCAGCCGCTGTCATAGAAACCCCTCCTTTCCCAAATATGTATGAAGGTTCACCACAATGAGGACACTTAAAGCAGCTCATGTTCTCAACAATTCCCAGAATCTGTAAATACAATAGAAGATCCATAAAAAATGATGCTCAACACCAAAATCCATTTCCAATTAATATTTCAGCTCAAGAACAGAAGGGATGGTTGACAAAAGAAACAGCAAATTTCATCCTACATTTTACTTGGAGCAAAAAAATGCTGTGAAATAAACAACATCTATGAAAACACATTGCATCTGTATCCATCAACAGGGTATATGTTTCTTGTCTTTGCTGGAAAAGTTTATGCCACCATAACTTACTACTTAGAACTCTATATCCATTAACCAATTTTATCAGATCTTCCCAAAGAGGCAAGAAGAAACTTAAATGACAGCTTATCATATTATCACATTGACGAGTACTCAAGAAGGGTGTAAACCCTCCTCCAAAAGTTAGCTATCGAGTAGGAGAACTAATCCATTTAAATACCTCAATGAATATCTCATACTACTTATATGACTTAGACATCCAATGGCAGCTGCATTCTGTAACTCTTCATTCGGTGATACTTCACTTGACTTTCTCATTATTCAGAACCTTTTACTAGTTAAAAACTTTCACATGTAACCCTTTCTAAAACACTCAAATGATGGGCATTTAAGTGGGAGGGTTCTAAAGTTAGCTATTGAGGTGAGAGAACCAACTCACTTAAACTCAACATAAGACTTAGGCATCCCATACTACCTTTGTCTCCATCACATATATACTGATAACATCAACTTTTCTTTTGATATATAAAAAATGCAAGGAAGTTAAAATTTTAGCATTTGTAATGTGAAGATGACAAATACAATATCAAGTTGACTGAATCCATAGATGTTTTTATTTTTATTGTTCTGTACATCCATGCTCTGCACACTAGCCAATTCATGCATATTATCTCAGCGTGCACATATTCTGATTCAAAAACTGATCAACATGACTTTATCTGTGCAAGTCAATGTAAAGAATAAGTACGCCAATGATGATCATACAGGAACATGAACTTTATTGAACATGTTTACTCCTCTCCTAGCATCCATTAATGCAACATCTTGAGGAGTTGAAACAATCACTGCACCTGAAATAAAAGCAGCTATGCAATGACAACCCAAGACTTTTTCTTTTAATGTAAACTACACAAAAACAGATTGAGTCATTATAAATAAAAACATCTCAAAACACGGCACTTTTGTTTTTCGTGCACGTAGTTAACAACTTTATATAATTAAATTTGCAAACAGCAACGGTGCTTAAAAACCAGTAAATTTCACTTTGAAAATGCCTCTTTTCATAAGCAGTGAAGGAAACGGAAAATTTGTACAAAAACCTTTCACCGTTGGGGCAATGGTAAACAAGCCATTTAACTTTTGGCATTGCCTGCTAATTTTCTTCAATTTTGATAAATGGCTCAACACCTTTTTTTTGGATGAGATTTTGGTTTTCAGGTTTGAATTTGTTCACTAAGGCTCCAATTGGTTTATTGATGGAAAAGTAAGGCCCCATATGTTTACTAAGGCTCCACTTGTTTTTTAAGAGAAGGAATTGGAAAAGTATGCAAAATGCCCATTACTCATGACTTTATATTTTTAATATTTTTTACAAAAAGGGTACAAGAGTCATGTCTCCTCCATAGCATCAATTTTTTTTGTTTTTGTTTTTGTTTTCATTCCATTGGTGTCTGAAATATTTAGCATGAGAAGTAGGTAAGATGAATAAAATAAGAAAAACAAAGGATCAAATTGGCTATTGAAAAATAATGGAGCCCTATTGTTCTACACTCATAAATGCAAAAGTAACAACAGTAAAATAGCAATAAATCAAGGCAAATGCTGAGGTTTGATATTTATGGTTCCAAAAGGCTAAATCAGTGTTGCAAAGACACTCCACTGATTTAGAACAAACCCTATTCCCTACTACAACCAAAACATACAAACAGAACAATCACATTGTGATAGACCTCTTTTTGCAGCACAGACCTATAAGAGGAAGTTTAAGAAGAGACATGAAAAGAGCAAACTACTTTATGGGAGTAAGAATATTGACCTTACTACCCTTACTCTTAAGAGTAAGACAGTCAGACTTAGAGTTGACTGTAGGAGTCTAGGCTGGTTAGCAGAAAGTAAGGTTGGGGAATGTGCAGGCCACTTTTAGGTCTTTAGTAGTCGTTGGTTCGGCGGTGTGGGGGATAAATCATATTTTGGTATTTTGGTATTTGGTGAGAGGAGAGATTGGCTCTTGAAAACCAGAGGGCATGCTCTTTGAGCATTGCAGTGTTCTAGTTTCTTAATTGTTGTTGGACCATTCGATTGTAATAAAAGTAAGGTTTGTTTTGAATCAGTGAAGGTTTATAACACTGATTTAGCATTTTGAAAGTATTAATAGCAAATCTCAATATTTCCTTAGATTTATTAGTTGTTTTCTGTTATTATCTCTGTGATTACACTTGCTGAACTGTAGGGTTGCAACATTTGGTATCAAAGCAAGTCGATCTGAGGGTTTGTGTAAAGAGGGATGGGCGAGAGGGTAGGATATGCAGACCCTAAATTACAAGAGTTGAAAGAGACAGTGGGAAGTTTAAATAGAGATGTAACATCTCTCAATGATGAAGGACTTGGGGGGAACCTTAGCACGTTTGTCAGAAAAAAATAAAAAGGGAAACGAGTCACATGTACATGTAGGTAGGGAAGCACAACGTGAAGAATCTGCAGAGACTAGTGCAAGGATTGAAAAAGAATCTAGCAAGTTTAGAAAGTTGGAGTTACTGGTGTTCAATGGAGAAGGTTCTCTAGGCTGGTTTTTCAGAGTAGAGAGGTATTTCCACATCAACTCCATTGATGAAGAAGAGAAGTTGGAAGCTGTAGTGGTATGCTTGAAGGGAAGAGCTTTAAAGTGGTACCAATAGATTGACACTCAGGCACCATGGCAAAGTTGGACTGAGTTCAAAACAGAGGCTTTGCGGAGATTCCATCCTTCTCCACTGGATGATGAGTACGAAATGATGATGGTTGCCAAACAAGAGCAGTCTGTACTCAAATATGTGGCGGAGTTCGAACGCCTGTCAGCACCGTTGAAGGATGCATTAGAGGCATGTTTGGTCGCAACGTTCAGAAGAGATTTGAAACTAGAGGTTAGGGCCGAGTTGAAGCTCACGAACGCTGTCACGTTACGCGAGGTGATGGAGATGGCCATTCGAGTTGAGGAGAGAAACACATAGATCAAACGAGTAAAAGAAGCTAGAGTAACCTGAACCCATAAGTTTTCGGGTGGACCCAGAATTGAACTAACCCAAACTTACTACACCCATGCAACCCACGTGTAAGAGACAGGGAAGAATACCATTATGGCCTCCTTTATGTCTAACACGGATGTTACCAACAACAAGAGGAATGATGCGAAGGTGTGGGAATCATGATCAGGCAGCATGACGACTGGATCCATGTTACTAAAGAAGGAAAGCATTGCTCGGAGGATGTCAAACACCAAGATGGCTCGAAGAAGGGAATTAGGACTTTGTTTTAAGTGTGGTGACAAGTATGGACCTAACCACACTCGTAGAAATAAGCAATTACAGGTATTGGTTATAGAACTCGAATCTGAAACACTACCGGAAAACACTGACATAGTGATTGAAATGGAGGGTGTGATGCTCAGGGACGAAGACACAGGGGCAATAATGGAATTATCAATGAATTCAATTGCTGGATTAGGAGGGAATCATACGATGAAGGTGAAGGGAGAGATATAGGAGCAAGAGCTGGTAGTATTGATAGATAGTGGGCCACACATAACTTCACATCGGAGGAATTTATTACCAAAATGAAAATTCCATAAGAACAAATAGCTACCTACACCATCACAGTTAGGGACGGGCACGGCTTAAAGAGGGATCGAAAATGCAAAAATGTGAGAATGAAGGTACAGGGTCTTGTTATTGACCAGACATTCTACCTTTTTCCCTTGAGTGGGGTTAATGCTATGTTAGGGGTTGAATGGCTTAAATCCCTGGGAGACGTGAAAATGAATTGGGGACAGCTAACCATGATAATAGGCAAGAAGGGAAGCTGAGTATGTTTGAAGGGAGACCCTGCCTTAGTTAAGGCCTAAGTCTCTCTTAGGTCTCTAATATGATCAGTGTAGAAGAAAGAAGCCGCGTTTATGATTGAATTTAATGGACATGGAAAGTCAGGCTCAAGTCGTAAATCCCAAGATTCAATCAATGCTCAATCAATTCAAGGCGACCTACAATCCCATTGAAGGATTACTAACCGTGTGCCCTAATGATCACGCTATCACACTTAAACCGGGAGAGCAGCCCTCGAATATACTACCCTACTGATATCCACATGCCTAGAAAAATGAGATTGAAAATATGGTAAAGGATATGCTTAAGGTTGGAATTATACAAGCTAGTCATAGTCCCTATTCTAGCCCAGTGTTATTGGCTAAGAAGAAAGATGGGAGTTGGAGGTTATGTGTTGATTATAGAGCATTAAACAAAATCACTGTCCCCGACAAGTTTCCAATTCCGGCCATTGATGAATTACTTGGTGAGCTCAAAGGCGCCATGGTGTTTACAAAGCTGGACCTAAAATCAGGCTATCATCAAATTCAAATCAAGGCTGGAGATGAACCAAAAACTGCTTTTCGAACACATGAAAGGCACTATGAATTTAAGGTAATGCCCTTCGGGCTGATCAATGCCCCCTCCACCTTCCAATCATTGATGAATGAGGTATTTCATGAGCATTTATGCAAGTTTGTACTTGTTTTTTTTTGATGATATACTCGTTTATAGTAAAGATTTTGCTACTCACCTCAAGCACTTGGAGGCTCTATTTTCTATTTTAGAAAGGAACTAGTTGGTGATTAACTTAAAGAAGTGCATATTTGGCCACTCAAAAATTTAATGCCTTGGGCACATCATATCTCAAGAAGGGGTACAGGCTGATCCGGCTAAGATTGAGAGCATGATCAAATGGCCCAAACCTCATAATGTGAAATCATTGAGGGTTTCCTAGGGCTGATTGGCTATTATAGGAGATTTGTGAAGAATTATGGGAAGATCGTTAGCTTGCTCACGGATATGCTCAAAAGTGATGCTTTCAAGTGGACCACTATAGCTGAAGAAGCCTTTGAGAGACTCAAAATTGCCATGACAACTCTTCCAGTGTTGACTTTACTGAATTTCACAATTCCCTTCGAGCTTGAAACTGATGCTTCAGGGACAAGTGTGGGTGCTGTGCTGATGCAAGAGGGCAAACTAGTCACTTATTACAGTCAAAAGTTGTCTAACAGGGCTCAACAGTGCTTTATTTATGAACGAGAACTTATGGCGATTGTCATGGCAGTGAAGAAGTGGCGTCACTACCTATAGGGCCACAAATTTACCATATGTACAGACTAAAAGGCCCTAAAATTTTTGCTGGAACAGAGAATTGTTGATGAAAATCAGCAGCATTGGGTCTCTAAATTGACCGGATACAAGCTTGAAGTTGTGCACAAACCAGGAAAGGAGAACAGGGCTGCCGCTTGCCGATGCACTTTCAAGACAAGAGGATAACCTGGAATTGTGTGGGTTTTCCTTATGGCAGTATGATGACATTGACAATTGGGAAAAAGAGGTGATGGTTGATGATGACATTGAGAATTGGGAAAAAGAGGTGATGGCTGATCCTAAATTTAATACTATGATGCAGCAGCTTATTGCTAAACCTGGAAGTGTGGAAGGGTATAGCATAAAAAAAGCGTGTTTACACTACAAGGACAAGTTGGTGCTTCCAAGAGGGTCTTGCAAAATCCCTTTCTTGCTTAAAGAATTTCATGATTCACTGGTAAGGGGTCATTCTGGATACTCAAGGACTTACAAAAGGCTAGCTCATGTATGTAGAAGGATATTTGATAATATGTAGCTCAATGTGATGTATGCCAAAAAAATAAATACCAAGCACTTTCTCCTACCGAGCTGTTACAACCTTTACCCATTCCACAACAATTATGGGGGGACATCGGCATGGATTTTATCACTGGCCTTCCAAAAGCCACAAGGTATGACACTATTATGGTGGTGGTAGATTGGCT